TAGATAAGTCACTATTCCACCAAGGTGGAAATGTCTTCTTTGAGTATCGTAGCGGGCAGGCCCTGTTCATTAAATTCTGAAGTGTTGTCTCGGCGATTCTCAAATTGGCCTCAATCTCGCTGATGGAGCTCACCAGTGGGCTGGGTACCAAACTAAGCTTCTCCCGAGCCAGACGATCGAATTCAATCCAGTTAGTTTTCGTATGGTGTCGATATGATTTGATAATTTTCGTATTAATATTGACACTGAAAGTAATGTACTTCAGCTCTACCCAGAATTACAGCGGACGACTGTAAAAGCTCAGTTATGCAAGACTAATAGCCCATTTCTACCAAAAGCTTAACTGCAGTTAGGAGCCCAAGCAAGTTCAAAGAACTTTAACATGGGGTGATCGGCAAGGTTTATTTCTTACTTTTTGCTCATTCACTTTCCTTTGCTTCCCCACCCTTCGAGGTGTAACAATCTTTTTCCAATAAGCACAAACTGCAGTTAAAGCTTGGTGGAAATGAACTATAAGACTTGACTTGAAAATTGTATATCTGGCAAATGAACAGCGCTTATATGTAGTTATCAAGGCGAATTAATATAAGGGGGTAGCGGTAGTACAAAAACAAAAACCAAACCAAAGCAAAACCACCTTATCAGCCCAATTATGAATACCACCGGGGAGTTTGTTCTCCCGTCAAAGAAATCCTCCAATAATTAGCTCCCAGGGAGTAGCATTTTCCTAGAAAATTTGGGAGGAGAAAATTCGAACTTCGTTAGAGCTGTTTGACACTTTTTTCATTTAAAACAAAAAATCCTCATTGAATTTTTATTCATTTTATCGGGTCCGGTAAACGGCTTTTTCTTACCCATTGTCCCAAAATTGACCTGAAGTGTTTTTGAAAAAGTCGTGAACTTGTCCCAAAATGATCCTTAACTAGTCCCGAAATATTCCTGAAATAGTCCTGGACTGGTGCCGAAATGGTCCTGAACCAGTGCCGATATGAAACCGAAATAGTCATCAAATCCCGAAATGGCTCGAAACAGGTCTTGAAATGGTCCTGAAAACAATTACAAATTTTCTGTGGGTTACACACGAAGTCGTTACAAATTGTATGCTGGGTAAACACAAGGTTAAGCATGGGCTCGACGTCCGAGGGATGAGTAGTGTTGCCTACTGGGCTCCTATTATGCTTGCCGCTGCTTAGGTTGCTGCCTGTTTGTCGTAGTCGGCGGCGTCACAGGTAACGAACATACCTTAAAGTGACACTAGTCAAGGCAGAAATTTTACATTACGTTAATTTTGGTCTTATGTTGCTCAGTTGAGCTCCATGGGGCGGTGGAGGCTCCTGTGTCTTTGGAGGCACCGGCGCATTGCGCAAATTGTGAGTCACTGTGAAGGCATTGGGTTGCCGTTGTGACTCAATCCGTTGTACATAGGTATTTCACCTGACCAAAGTGCAATTCGGTTGGAGTCTTCTGTTCCGGTATTTGACTCGATGCCAGTTGAAAAAAGTGATGATGTTAATT